ACTCCAGGAAATTAGATCAAATTCATTATTCCGTATGTACTTCCCAACTTCCAACAGGTGTTAATGTTTCGAGGCTTCTAACAGGCTGATTCCTAACTGCACCAAAGCTTGAGGTAAATGGAGTATAAAGGAAACCAAGGAAAAGGGATCAGTGTCCTTCACAGAGAGTCACTTAGGACTAGACTTGGTGACTTATTTAGGACATATATCGGAGGCTCAGGGGAGACCTTATCACCCTCTACAACTCCCTGACAGGAGGTTGGAGTCAGGTGAGGGTTGGTCTCTTCTCCCAGGCAACAAGAGGGCACAGACTCAAGCTCTGCCAGGGGAGGGTTAGGTTGGATATTAGGAAGAGATTTTTTAGGGAGAGAGTGCTCAGGCATTGGAATGTGCTGCCCAGGGAGGTGGAGGATTCACCATCCCTGGAGGTTTTGAAGATGAGACTGGATGTGGCACTTAGTGCCATGGTCTAGTAACGACGGTAGGGTTGGACTTGATGATCCTTGAGGTCTTTTCCAACCCCATTGATTCTATGATTTCTTCTGCCATGACTTGCTGGGAACAGGACCTGGATAGCTTTATATCCCAGGCACTGCTCTCTCTGGAATGGCTCTCAAGGCTCTGCTTTCTTCTGCCTGACTTGCAGGGAGTGAAGGATCTTCAGCAGATCAGAGAAATTAGCCCTTCAGCCTTTCTATCATCCACTCTGTTTTATACTGTGGAATTATTCTGCAGTTGTCAAAAGCAGCAGAAGTGTAATCAGCACAATTAGAAATTTTAATATACAATATAATTCAATCAGCCCAAAATCTCACAACAGTTTTGATTGAGTTAAAAAAATCAGAAGAGCTCTAATGAGTAGTTTATGTAGATTAAACCATTTTTCTGGATACATTCCTTCTGGCTTTAAACCCATTACATTAGCAGTGGATTTGGCACAATAGACAGAAATATCAAATGCTTATTGGAATTAACACATTTAAATACCAATGAATATTTAAACTACAAATAGTTTTCTCAATGGTTTCATATGGATTTTCCTGCAGTTGAAATGTATAATCTTCCAGCCTCTCAATCCTGTGGATTCTTAGGAATCTACTAGTTCATGCTCTAATGTTTCCCTCAGTTAAATATTTATAGATCTCTCTCCTTACCTAAACACCCACAGGAATGAAACTTGCAGGAGTCTAATGATCTCCAAGACCTCAAGTGTTCTGTCTCATTCAGCTGAAAATAGCTGACACATTTCAAAGTTATTGGGGAGGCAAAACATACAGGACAAGCAATCCTTAATAAAACAGATTAAAAAGTAATCAGTTTGTAATCAATTGTTAGGTATTGTTCAACTCTCTTTGTCCCAGTAACTCCAAGTTTCTATATAGGCTCTGCCACTTACGTATTTCCTTTTACACATCTTCACTTTGGATAAAAAACTGTGTAAAATCTGCACTTTATTGCATAGGAATGAATTGTTCTAACACACAATTTATCCCACAGTGGGTTGCCAGGAATTCCCTTTTACTTTGGAATATTTACCTGTTCTATTGGAATCACTGTTACCTATTGCTTTGTCCAAGCCAGCCTGGACTGTAATAGCAACATTTGCCTTCAACTGAAAGCTCAGAGAAGAGATTTACAGTGAGGAAGAACCTCAAAGGACCATGACAACCACTGAGACACTCCTTTGTTCCTTACCCATGCTTGGCTCTTCCTCCACATTTCAGGGCTGTGTCTCTGCTGTTCCTTTTGGACCCAGTGGTAGCATTCCAAATGGGAAATAACATCACAATAGGCAGTGCCATTTCCTCCAGATTCATCATTCACCTTGAACAGCCAACGCTGCACTTCCATGTTGTCCAGGATGAGTCGGCTGAGAGCACGAACCATCTGTGGGGCAAAGGCACAAAGAGACACATCAAACTGGTCCTCAGACTTCCAGTTCTCAAATATTCGGGCTTGAAATTTATGTCTTAAACACAGTTTCATTTTTTCAGAGATTCTTTTGTTGTCACAGTTCTTTGGATGTATAGTGAAAGCAACCTTGGGCAGTTTTTGGCCTTCATCCTGGACTTGAGTCCCTTCACCACCCCCACTGGGGCTCTGTTCTCCAGAGGGGCTTTTCTCTGACCATGCATTTTTTGTCTGATGAGGATATCTAAGGTGTTGGAGAATCAGAACTGCTCAATAAATGCCTGTGACAGGGAACAATGCAGGATGGACTATGCAGTTTGCAAATGCCAGACACAATTGTGCCAGAGTGTAACACCAGCCAAAACAGCTGTGAGGTTTTCCTGCTGGAGAGTACATTCCCTGGTTATAAATGTACCAAGGAGTTACCAGGCAGGCTTTATAAAAATGCTAATTATTTATTTGGGTATGTACACAGATTTGAATGGCTTTCAAATGCCTTTTGCCCAGCTGGTGCAGGATGCAATTAGCTTCTTAGAAACTGCAAATTACTTTGAACCTGGTGAAAGTATTATCAGATCTTGTTGCATTGGAGATAATCTTCTACATTTTACTTAGTAATTTGGGGGGACTTCTGTTGCCTTTTTTTTGAAAGATTGACCCAAAATACCATGACATTTGTTCCATTTGTGGCTTTGGAGAATCACCTAAATGTGTTTTTCTTGATGGCTCCTCTACAGTAATGAATGGGATCAATAACACAGTAAGGACTGTACCAATCACAAAGAATTATGTGCTATCTTTAAGTGAAAATTGAATTGTGCTTTACCATAGTGTCACCTTCCTTTGATTATTTAACCTAAACTGTCGATATTTCATACAAGCAAACAACAGAGTGGAACTCCCATAACTCTGGAGTGGGAACCAAAAGTATTGTTAAATAATTTATATGAATCAAAGAAATCAAACAGCTGCTTTGCAGCATTGATCAGATATTTATTTCATCTACCACAGCAGTTGCAATGAATTTGTGAGGCTTAGATTGTTCAGTGCTAAAGGTGATTAATAAAAAGCAATGTGAAAAGCCTCTTGAGGAAGCAGAAATACCTACAAACCTTGGCAATGATTATTTCCCTGTGTGAGATGTAGTGGCACCACAAAAATGGGGTTTAAAAATAATCATACTTAGACATATCATTGCCAATTGCAGAATCAGCTTATAGAATAAAATATGTATATAATAAAAACTGAGGCACTGACTGCAAAATAAAGATGCAAAATGAGAGTACAGAACACTCTTGTGCCTTGTAACTTCAGTTTAGTGATATTTTCCTCTGTTCTTACTGGTCATGCTAACGAGAAGGGTGAATTTAGCAATAAGCTGAGTACAAAGTAAAGCTGCAGCTGCAAAGATGCTCAGTGAAGCTCAGTTTGAAAAAAGTGACTGCACAAGTAGGAGAAATTTTCTACTTGTTGTCCCAGAAATCCTTATTCTATCTTCAGGTAAAACTTCTATGAGTGTCTTTGAGGCCACAACTTCATCCATGGAGCAGCAGCACAAACTGTCTGCAGGAACTGGACCAAATACACATCTGTTCTCAATACAGACCAGAACAGGGCACAAATTGCATTTAATTTGTCAGTTAGAGCCCAGAGAGAACCCAAACTCACACAGGATTTGATCCTCACAAATGATTTGATCAAACCAATTGGTGTCTAATCAATAGAGTCATTGCAGTGGTCCACGTTTGCATCAAACCAGACATTGTCACAGCCCAGAGCACATCCTGCTCACCTGTTCTTGGCTGTGGATGTCTGATTCTCCAGGAGGGGTTGGCACACCAGCACTGGCAAAAATCCTTTTACTCCCAGACTTGGTGCTGCATTGCTGAGCCACTTCTGGCCCTGAGCCCAAAATAGGCACCTGGAGCATATCAGCCACTGCTAATTCATCCTGGTGGGGAACTCCCCCAACCATGTAGGCATCTCTGCCCTGGATCAGAGCTTGGATTCTTTGGATTGTCTTTGGACTGTACTTGAGCTGAGTGGCCAAGCACATGTGATGCTGCTGTAGAAAGAGCACATTATTCATGTTAAAAGGTGTTTTTTTCCCATCCCATGAACCTAATTCTTCACACTGCCCACAATAAATACATTATTAATAGCAGGTTGGGTTATGACCTATCCTGTAGCTTAGCAGTTTAAATTGATAAAAGCTGTTGGGGTTGAGGCTCCATAATGGTGCACATCTTTAGCAGGTCGGAAATGGGCTCTTTGGGAATTGAACTAATTACTACACATCTGTATTTATTTGATCCAGGAGGAATTATCCTTCTGTCAGTCGGCAGAGAGGCTGGTGGCCTTTGGATAATAGGGATTCATCTCAGCACCACTCCTGGCATGCTTTAACTCTAAAGCTCCTAAAAATCAATGCAAAAATGAAGAACCCCCTGCCTGTAGCAGGGGATGGATCTCGCCATACAGTTCCTGTGGTATTTTAAGTGATTCTCTGGGAATAAACCTCTTGGATTTACAAAAGCTTTCATTGCTCACATTAAATTACTGAGGATATACATTTGCATTAGACAGGAGGTGTGGTAGCTGCTTCAAACACAACTGCAGAGTGCTCAAGGAGAGTGGAGCAGTTTTGGGGTTAAAATTCCAAATTTTTGGAAGAAACTTTTAATTTCCTCTATTTTAATTTCCTCTACATTTAAACTAAGATATTAGTCATGGCAGGTGAAACCTCAGAAATGTTTTTTCCAACATACCCTATGCATGGCCTGCAAATATCCCAATTATCTTCCCAAAAATCTAGTACTGAGGTTGAGACAGAGATGAAGGAATAGTACAAGAGAAATCCACTGCAAGTGATTGTCATGAACAGATCATAATCCTAACAAGAAGGAAAGCAACTTCCCATTGAGATTCCATCCCATTTAGGCCTCAGCCAGGAAAATACTCCTTTTCAGCATAAATCCTGGATTTGCCAGGTATTTCCAGGCCTGAGGAACCTAGAATATTTTCCTTCCAAGTCCTGGATGCTCCTTTACAGGGACTGATTCTATTACTTGGATGGGAATGATGCTGGAAGAGGAGATGGAGTAGGAATCAAAAGGAATCCCTTTCTGTCAGTTCCTCAGGGCTTTCTCATCCCAAACACAGCTCCTAAAGTGCTCAAATCTCTCTGTAAGGAGTCAGACACACTGCAAGGGCAGCAAGGAGGTAAGCCCGAGAAATGGGATACTCTCTAAAGTTCCAGCAGGAAAAAAGGGAATCATAGAAGTTTAAGGACAAAAAGAAAAACACACAAGTTTCCTGGACCCTTTTTCCTTCCATCAGCTTTAAACCTAAGACTTCTGAGGTTCTGATCCCTGTGTTTCCTTCAGCTGAGCACTGGTAGATGAGCAGGAAGCTGGCCCATTCCAGAGCTGTGCCATGCAGGGAACAGGATCAATTCCCAGCCCCGGTCACTTGCTCCCTGGGGCCACGAGGGTGATGTAGGGATGAGATTTGCTTTGTGCCTCTCAATAATGGATTTTACAGTTAATTAAG